CCTGACAACATCCGGCCCCCAGGACTGTGCAGAAAGATGGTTGCGTGCGAGTGAGTAGCTGCAAAGTTGCAGCCATTTCACGTTGCCTAAGTATTCTGTAGGGTGTTTGCATAGTGTCATCATGGACTCAGAGAATATCCCCTTGGCAACACGCATTGCCGTGTATAGAGAGCTACTGAAAATGAATGAGGCAAAGCCACTGCCATGGAGTCTGCAGAACACTGAACAGCAAACACGGTTTGCCAAGGGCAGTGTCAGGCTTGCTCCCTTTTATGGGGATCAGGACACCACACTCAAAGGCCGAGGGAGGTCCTGGGCTTCTCCAGGGCCACAGCTGGGACTGAGCACACAGGTTCTGTCCTGCAGCAGCCCCTCCTGGCCTTCCTGCCCTCTGGCCTCATGGCCGGATGGTGTCCCTGACCCCGTGTCCCTGTGTGTCCCCAGAGCCCAAGGCGGTGTTTGCCAAGGAGCAGCCGGCACGCAGTGAGGTGCAGGCCGAGGCGGGGGCCAGCGCCACGCTGAGCTGTGAGGTGACCCAGGCAAAGACGGAGGTGGCGTGGTTCAAGGACGGGAAGAAGCTGGATGCAAGCTCGAGAGTGCGCGTGGAGGCCACGGGCTGCAGGCGGCAGCTGGTGGTGCAGCAGGTGGGCGAGGCGGATGCCGGGGAGTACAGCTGCGAGGCCGGGGGCCGGAAGATCTCCTTCCTTCTCCAAGTTAAAGGTCAGTCCTGCATGTGCTTCTTTAGTAGTTTGGAGGTGATGTGAGCCCCGTTGGTGGCCCTGTGATCTTAAATGTCTCCTTTCTTCCCTGCTGTCTTACTCCTGTGTGTGACTTGGCCTAGTGACGCTGGTGCTGCCGCCTGTTGTGTTCCTACAACGTGGGGCCCCATCATAGCTTCAACGCTGGACCTTTCCAGGTGTTGTTTGGTGTCCAGGACTCTTCCCCATCTGGCCCTATGGTCTCTGGTGGGCCAGATGTCTCTCTGGAACGTAGTAGAATTACCTTTCCTTCTTTCCCATCTGTTAGCTTCCAGATGCCCTCCCTTCAGCACTGCAGTGTGATTCTCACTAGTAGAGATACTCAAATTTGTTTCAAGCAGGGTAAGGAGATTTCAGCGGCACCGTCATGCTTGGAATTAGCCTTTGTCTAAGTTTTGTGTTGTCAAGGTTTAGGTGTCCTAGGATACTCTTCCCTGCTTTCTCTTGGGGACAGAAATTGTGTGGGGGCAAAGTCTGGATCCATGGTGTCATGGAGTGCTACACACGGTACTCCAAGAACATAAGAGTTGGTGGAGGAATACTTTGTACCAACTTTGAAATTGGGAATTGCCCCTTCAAGAATGAGCTTCTTCTCTAGTTTTGTTCAGTTAGAGTATTCTGTGCCAGGATTTGTCCTCAGAGTTCGATTTGTAAAGTTAGGATCAGAAGGAACAGTTGAGGCTCTGTTAGCACTTAATGAACAATGCCTTACTGCAGTGGTGGCCTCTGAGTGGTATGGCAGAATTCATTCTCTAGCAATTCCTAATAAGTTATATGTGCTTGTGCCTCCTGGGCTGATTTGTGGAGAGGTATGAGAATCAGGTTTATTTTTGTTACACCTGGAAGGCCTTAGCATCAGAGTGACTGGGCTGCGGCTCCACTGTGCCTGCCGGGTAGCAGCACGGCCGTTTGGTGTTGCATCCATATAAATAGCTTATGACTGGGCATAGCTGCCAAAATTCATCTTTATGTCTCTTTCTAAAGTGTTCTTCTAAGAAGTTCCAACAGATTTTTATGCTTAAAAACTTGGACACCTTTGACAAACTGATCAGTTTCCTAGAAAAAAAAGACTGTGAGAAGTTACACAAGAAGAAATAGGCAACTCAGATAGTTCTATAACTTTTGAAGATACGGAACCAGCAACAAAGAAATCGTTTCCTAAGGGAAACTAGGCCTAGTAGCTCTACTGATAAATTTGGAAAGAAGTTGTTCCATGTTCATGACATTCTTCTAGAGGAAAGAAGATTGCAGCCCTATTTTGTGTAGACTGCATATAACACAGGCACTAAATCTACAAGGGACACGTGAAAAATTGAATTTTCAGGCCAGTCTTTGGTACATATCAAGTCCGGTATTTTCAACAAAATACTGCAGAGTGATGTAGTGGCAGAGTGATTTGCCAGGAGGAAGGTGTGCAGTGATGAAGGGTGGCATCCAGACGGGCAGTGCTGGCTTAATAGTGAAAACACCAGGAAATGTGATGTGTGACTTCAGCTGCATGAAAGCATCATTGAGTGATGTCTTGGTTACTTTTCTTTCTTGCTGCTGAGACAAAATACCTGACACCTACAATTAAGGAAGGAAAGGTTTATTTAGCTCAGTTTGTGGAGGTTTCGGTCCATACTTGGCTGGCTCCAAGGCAGAGTGGCACATGGAAGAGGGCAACAGTTCATGGCAGTGGAAGACAGCAGAAGCAGCAAGAGCAAAAGGTAGAGGGGAGCAAGCCTCTTTTCCTCCTTTACATTGTATGCTGGGTACCCACCCTGCTACACCCAGTTCAGGGTGGGTGTAGTACTCATACCCGTAATCCCAATGGACCATGAGTCAGTCAGAAACTCTAGAATCCCACGCCATGACTGCATGAGGCTTTGGAGAGACATCTAGACACATCTAGAACATCTAGATGTTCACCATAATAGGTGAACATCTCAATAAATGCAGAATTCAAATTTGACAAAACTTAACACCATAAACCAGAGTAGTGTGTAATAACAAAATTCAGCACCAATTCATGCTGTGAAATTCCTAACAGTGCAGCAGCCAGCAGACTCTTCCTTGCTTTGCATGCACTGTAGGAAGCACTGGCCCTCATGGTTCTTTGGTGAGGCCTGGAGAGCTGTTTTGAGGGGAGCGGAAGGGGTGAGAGCTGTCCCCATTCTGCCACACACAGCACAGAATGAGGCCAGACAATGGGCGGCGGCGATGTCAGGGTGAGGGTGGAGTCAGAGATGATCTGATTACCCGTTCTGAACACCAGGGTTAACTGTGGAAGGATTGGAAAAGAGCCCTGAGCAAATATTCACCCCAGAAATCGCTCCCATATCCATGTTCTAGCAACGAAGAGCAGGAAACTGGAGTCCTACAGCGCAGGTTGAATTTCCTTTCTCTGAAATGCTGGGGAGCAGAAGTGTTTGGATTTAGATATTTTTCAGATTTTGCCTATCACCATAGAGACATCACGCAGCATTGTGGGGATGAGGCTTGAGCCCAGAGTGGAGTTCACTTATGGTTCATGTATGTCTCTCTCTCTGTCTTTCTCCGTGTCTCTCTGTCTCTCTTTCTCTCACACACACACACTCTCCCTCTCACACACCCATACTCTGTCTCTCTCACATATACACACACACACTCTGTCACAAACACATCACACTCATACTCTCTCACATACACACACACACACACACACACACACACTCTCACACTCTACTTGAAAATAATTTTGCCATGAAACAAGGTTAATGGTGTAGCGTTTTCGCCTTGCAGCATGAAGTGGGTGCTGGGACAGTTTTGCACTCTGGAGCATTTTGTATTTTTTGTTCAGGTGCTCCCTCTGTGTTTACATAAAAAGCACTGTGTTTCTGAGTCCAAGTGTAAAAGCAATATGTGTAAGAGTTCTGCAAGGTAAATTAAATACGTTTGAGAGCTATTAAGGGACATCTAAATGAACGGATATAAATGCTCAGAATAATCAAAGATGATCATTTAGCCCCAAAATCCAAACAGATAGTCTACACAGCGTGTGTGGGTGCTGGCAGTTGGCACAGATTGCAGAGCCATGTATGCTTCATGCCTTGGAGGAGGAAGAGAGTGAGCATTTCCTCAGCGTTGTCAAGAACAATCACAAGGCTGCAGTGACGAAGAGCACTGGGCACCGAAGTGGAGAGGACAGATGATTGAGCTGAGGGTTGGGCCCAGACGTGGGTGCACCCCATGTGGCCCCGACCCTGTGTCTTTTATACCCATGCAAACACTAGGGAGGAGATTTTCATGCCCTAAACGTTTTGGGACATTAAACTACAAGGAAACAGTAAGTTTCCTGGTGCAGCACAAGAAGACGTAGTTGCTTTGTATTGCTGTGGCATAGTTACTGAGGCTGGAGAATTTACAGACCACATAGGGTTATAGGGTCACCATTCTTTGGCTGGAAGGTCCACACAGCACGGTGTGAAGTCCTGGTCCTGGTGAGGCCCACCTGTGTCAGTGCATGGTAATGTAGAAGAGGGCCTGTCACATGCAGAGGGGACCAAAGAGGTGGCATTCAAAGCGGCTGCCTTTGTGAGAACCCCTCAGGGCCAGCAGTGATTGAGGTGTGATGCTGGAGCCTTGTGATGGAGGAGCTTCCCATGGGCTGTACCCTTAGAGGTTCCCCACTCAGCACCTCCATGCAGGGCCCAGCCTCCCCACACAGGAGCCTGGACGAACTGCCACCCCGGAGCCTAGCAGCTGGTCAGGGAGGCATCCTTTGCCACATGTGGCAGTGGAGCTCCTGACCCACTTAGGAGAGGCTGTGCTTTAGAGGTAGTGGGCACGCTTGGACAGCAGCAACAGGGAGCAAGCACTGGTGGCCCAAACAGCAGAGGTCTCCACTGCCAGACGCTGCACAGGCAGCCTTGGAGGTGTGGGCCAGGTGCAGTGCCTGGGCCTCAGGGACGCAGAACTGCAGGATCCCTGTCCTGCACCATCCTGGGGGGTCCTCGTTCCCAAGGGGCAGGTGGATAGCGCCATCTCCGGTGTTCCATGAGGAGCTTGTACTGGAGACCCTCACCCACATCCGCAATTAGCCTCATGTAGCTAGGCCGGGCTGTACGGCAGATTGTGCTGCGGGTGCTGGGAGGTGTGTAGGCTTCTCCAGGGTCACAGGAGGTGCAGAACCCGTAGGTCCTGTTCTGCAGCTGCCCTGCCTGGCCTTCCTGCTGTGTGGCCACCAGGCCTGACAGTGCCTCTGACTCTGTGTGTCCACAGAGCCCAAGGCGGTGTTCGCCAAGGAGCAGCCGGCACGCAGCGAGGTGCAGGCCGAGGCGGGGGCCAGCGCCAC